GTGTTCAATTAGTTACGTTAAACAATATCACTTGTGTAATAAAAAACATTAATAAAGAGAAGCTTCAAGAGAAGCAATTATTTGGTTAATTTTAAAAAACAATGAGGATGGTATTTTATGTAATGACCACAGTCAGTTACATGAAAAAGAATTAGTAAGTGCACCAAAACAAAAATTCCAAGGGCTAATTACTAGTTTATAGCAGTTTTGAGTCAGAAGCATTAAGTTAGCCTCTGGGGTTTTGGAACATTTGTCCTGGCCTGAGCCTCTGTACAATGGAAGAGTCCAGTTCATTTCCCTGTAATTAAATGAAGAACGTGGGTAGTGACTAGCACAGAGGTTGGCATGACCAGGAACTCTCCCTTACAACATGGACCCACTTTACCAAGACAACTCACAACAGATGGGATCATCTGCTTTCCTCGGATAAATATAACGTGAAAGTTAGGGAAAGACCGACATATCCCTTTCTTCTGAGCTACCCTGCTCTCCCCTCTACTGAAGTCACTATTTCTGACTTCTCATCACTGGTTGCTGTTGGGTGCTGTTGAGTTGGTTGCAGCTCACAGTGACCTCATGTACAAAGAATACAACACTGCCCAGTCTAGCACCCCTTACCTGTCTCACACACCCTCCCTAGTCCCACACCTCCTTACCTGTCCTGCACATCCCTTACCAGTGCTGACACCCCTTACGGGTCCTCCATCTCCCTTACCAGTCTTTCACACCCCTCCCCTTACCAGTCCCACACTCCTTACCTGTCCTGCACCTTCCTTACCTATCCTGCACCCCCTTTACAACTGCTGCTGTGTTTGAGCTATTGCACTCATGGTGTCAGTGTATCTCAGTGAGGGCCTTCTTTTTGTCAGTCTTCTACTTTACCAGGTGTAACATCCTTCTCCAAGAACTGAACCCTCCTGATAATATGTCCAATGTCTGTGAGATGAAATCTCACCTTCTGCCTCAAAGGACCATCCTAGCCGCACTTTTTCCAAGACAGATATGTTTGTCCTCTGGCAGTCCACAGCATATTTAATATTTTTTGCCAACATCATAAATCAAATTCATCAATTCATCTTCAGTCTTCCTTAGTCATTGTCCAACTTTTTATGTGCATGAGAGGACTGAGAATACACACAATAACTCATATAAAACAACTGTTTTCTGAAGAAACTGAGTGATTCCTCAAGGAACAATGCCCTAGCTTCCCAAGTTGCTACAATCTTGGGTTTCTCAACCACAACATTCTTGATATTTTGATTCAAGTGACTTTGCTAGAGGGGGCTGAACTGTGCTTTGTAGGATATTTATCAGCATTCCTAGCCTTCACTCTTAGATGCCAGTAGTAATCACTCCTCCAGTTGACAACCAAATATATCTTCAGATATTATCAAATAACCCTACTGAGCAAAATTGCCTCTGGCTGAGAATCATTATTAGAGATGAATTCAGCTGTTCTTTAGCTATCTCATGAGAAGCTGGTACTATACATTAATATTAAAGCAAAAAAAATTTATCTTGAACCACCAGAAAACAGTTTAGTATCTTCTTTCTAGTTGTTGTTGTTGTTAGTATCATCAAGTTGGAAATAACTCATAGGTGACCCCCCTCAGGAGGTTTTCAGAGGCATTAAATCACAGGAGAGTCGACTGCCCATTGTTTTCCCCCTTCAGAGCAGGGGTGGATTCATGGGAAGGCAGTGCAGCTCCTTACCACTAGGCTGGCCTCATGTTGTTGTTACTAAGTGCTGTTGAGTTGGAACTGACTCAGAGCTAATCCTCCAGCAGGTTTCAGACACAAGGGAGGAGACAGCCCATCCTTCTCCAATCTTTCTGATGGATTTGAACTGTGTGCCTTAGAAATTGCAGTGCAGGTTGTTACCACTGGACCACCAGAGCTTCTAGCAGTGAGTGAAATAACATTGGCTGTGAAAGCCAAGTTTGCTGAAGCTAATGTCTTTCTTCTTAGTGGCTGCAAATGAATTACACTACAAATTGGAACTGACTCATTTCTGACCCTCCAGAGGGTTTTCTGAAGTGTAAAATGCATGAGAGGAGACAGCCTATCTTTCCTTTGGATCTGCTGGTGGATTTGAACCACCACAGACATTCCACATTTGCTTAGCAGTGCAACCCCCACAGACTACACCACTAGAGCTCCCTACTGGACTACAAAAAAAGTAAAACTAGGTGTGTCAAGCCCAGACATAAGGTGCAGAAAGAGAGGGAACAACTAGCCTGCTGCTTAAAGGACAAAGTCTTAATTTTACTCATTCAGCGTAAAATTAAGAGGGTAGAAATAGGCAGCAGAGTAGCTGATAATCCCATGGCTTTAAATACTGTCTATTTACTGATGGCCCCATATTTTCCATTTCTAACTCATACTTCTCTCATGGTAGTCTTCTAATTCAGCTGCTGCTCCATTTCTTCACCTGGTTTTATCATATGGGCATCTAAAGCCCAAATCAGTTTAAATATGTCTGCCCTGGTAGCTCCCATCTCCGTAAATGGCATCACCACACAGGAGACAGCTCACATAAAAAAATGAAAGTCCTCATTGACTTTTCTATCCTTCTTTATCCAATCAGTCACTCAGGGTAACTCTGCCTGAAAATATACCCCTAATCTGTCCACTTCTCTCCAGCATCACTGCTGCTATTCTAGACAAAGCCATCATTATCTCTTGATGGGCCAGGGCATTTGCTTCCTAACTAACCCTTACTGATTCCTCTCTTGTTCCCACATTAGGGTTCTTCTCAATTATTGACAGTTGAGTCCAAATAATTCTTAGTTATGGAGGTGTGGTCTTGTGCATGATAGGATATTTAGTAACAGCCACCTCCCCCACAAGCAGCCAGGACAAACAGACATGTAGATGTCCTCAGGGGGACAAAACCACCCCTAACTCTCCAAAGTTGAGAACTCTGCCCTACAATCATTCTGCACATGGAAGGCAGAAGAACGATCTTTTAAAAACATAAACTGCATAATGTCACTCCCTGCTAAAACCTTTCATCCTCTTCCCAACGACTTCAGAAGAAAATCCAAGCTCCTTAAAAGATGCTCTGAGATGTGGCCCCAGCACTTCAATAATCTCATCTCTTCCATGTCATGATCTCCCTCATTTACTAAACTCCAGTCACACCAGTTTTCTGTCTTCAAACTTTCCCAGCTTGTTCCTACTCCACCCTTTGCACTTTTGCTCCTTCTGCCAAGAACACATGCTCCCCAGCTCTCTGTACGACTCACAGTCTGGAATGATTTATCTAATACGTAAGGTAAGCATTGGCTTGTATTTACTTACTAATCTGGGGTGAACAATGTCACACTTTTTTTCACCACATCAAAGATTCTGCTTCTAGGTAAAGGTATATATCTGTCTCCAAACTCCACAGTACCTTCTTATATATAGGACCAAAGCTTCTTTTCAAATTTATAATCCCTGACAGGGAGGCAGTACCCAGAAAGCAAGATAAGCATTGATTTACTTACTAACCTGTTGTTGTGTCCTGTGGAGTCAGAATTGACCCATAGCTGACCCTCTAGCAGGTTTCCAGAGACAGTAAATCCCTTGGGAGGAGACTGCCCATCTTTTTCCCTCGCAGAGCAACTGGTGGATTCAAATCGAGTACCTTTGGGTTTGCAGTGCAGTTCCTTACCATTAAGTCATCACATGGGGTTTTCCAATGACAGATTAGTCCGTTATAGATTAACAAACACAAGTAAACCTATGCTTATCTTGCTTATTGGGTAATCTGCCTCTACTCACTGTTCGCACATATAAATCTCAGATTAAATGTTTCTCCTCAGCAAGGACTTCCACGACCACACTATCTTACCCTTCCCTTTCTATCATATTGCTCACTTATTTCCTTCATAGTGCTAATCTCAATAGAACACTGTCTTCCCTAGATATCTCTTAGAGTGTAAGCTTCATGAAACCATCTCTCAGTTTGTCATACTGTGTTGGTTTCTGAGTTATTAAGGACCTACGCCACATATTGAAATATGCTAGCATTTCAAATACTAGGAAAATTACTCATGGTGGACAGGTTTCAGGAGAGTTCCTGGACTAAGAGAGACTAGGAAGAAAGGCCAGGTCACCCAAGTACAGAAAATCAGCCATTAGAAAACCTACGGAGCAACAGAACATGGTCTAATACAAAGCTGGAAGATCAGATTCCCAAGACCGCAAAGGACCAGGAAATGCTTCATTTTGTTGTACACAGGCTTGCGATGAGTTGGAGCCGACATATCAGTAAGTTTCCTTCATTAGAACAGGGACCCATCTGTCCTGTTCATGCCCGGTGCTTAGAATCATACTAGGAACAAGGCAGGCGTTCAATGATTATTCCTTGCCATCTTCCTAAAGCCTCAGCTCTGATTGTAATGACCTCCTTTCACTTCTAGGATTATTATTGATCTTTGTTGTTGCTTACCTTCATCTTTGACTTTGAACTACATTTGACCTATAAATTAAAAAACTGTGTGGTCAGGGATACCAAGTCCAAGTGTCTGGCATAAAGTAAATAATTAATTGTCGTTTTCCAAACATCAACACAGGCTGATTAATTCGTTCATACACTCTTGTCCTTTGCCCTTCAGGGTTCTGGCAGATCATGGATACGTCCAGTTGGTCCCAATTCCAGAAGCCTGAGGCTATGAAGGAGTTTCTAACAGGTCCTATCCACCCGGAAATCACCTGGCCTAAAAGTTCAGTCTCTTTTGTCCATTCAGCCCATTTTCTATTGTTTTGCAGGCCTGAGAACTTACTGTGCTGACTTCGAGTTCAAGTAGTCGCTGGGTCAAAGGCAGGATGGTCCAAGGAGCAGCGTGGGCAAGAGCAAAAACCACGACGCAGCAGTTTCTCGCACTGATTACTGGGCTGGTGCCATGAAACCCAAGACAGCTAGTCCACTTGGCAGCGGCCTATCTGGGAATCGGAGGCAATTCCCTCCTGGCTAAGGGCCAGGGCCCTCTCGTGGCCTTTTGGGGAGCGGTTCATGGTGCGGTTTTCACATTCTGGCGAGCTGCTGGTTTGCCCCGCTGGGCAGGGCTCTCCATGCGATGCAGAGACGTCTCCACGCGCACGGTGGAGGCCCGGACGTGGCGGGAGGAGGTCTCCCTGCGCTGGGACGAGGTTTCCACATGCCGAGAGGACACCTCGAGGACGCTAGGGAGCCGCTTCCCGGAGGGCGCGATGGAGGTCCCCTCGCTGTGGCGCTGCGAGGTCTCTACCTGGCGGGAGGACGTGCGCACCTGCCGAGAGGATGTCTCCACGCGGTGCGATGACGTCTCCACGCGGACCGTCGAAGTCTCCTTATAGCGGCTCGTCTCCACTCGGGGCGAAGACGGCTTTCCCTTTAGGGGCGAAGCCATTCTGGGGCTGATTCATGGACCTGTGAGGCTTCGAGGGACAATGGTCATCTAAAAGCAAGCCTCTGAAGTAAGATACAGGGTCACTTGGTAAGGAATGACGTGATAATGACGTGTTATTTCATCGCAGGCACAAGAGTGGAAGCCCACGATGCTGTCACAAGCTAGACTGCCACAACATGACAGCAGGGGGACACCGGGGGTCTCCAGGGGCTAACAGATCCGCGCCTCACGCTCTGGGGGTGGGGAGACTGAGTGAGCCTGGGAAAGATTTCCTAAACCCCGCCCCCTGCATTGACGCGCTTGCGCGGACGGAGCCGAGGCGGGGCCTAACCTGGATGGGCGGGGCTAAGGGCCCGAGGCCGAGGCGAGTTAGTCCCACCTCATGTATCCCACACTGCCCCAGGACAGGAAACTGAAGCTGTAACTTCCGGAACCTTTCCAGTCACTGTGGGCTGTTTTGTTGATTGGTGGCCGTTTGGTGTCTTTCCTTCTTATGGCCGCTTCCGTCGCTATGGAAACAGGTAAGTTGTGCCCGGAGTCTCCAATTCCCTGTCCAAACACCATCTCCCACTTTTTCTTGGCCTCCTTTTAGACCTACCAGCCCGCGCTGTTCGCGAGGTTGGTAGATTCTTGTGGCTTCCGAAATGGCAAAGGTAGTATTTTGTTAATTCTCAAATACTTCTCCACATTTACTCTTCAAACTGACCCCGTCAGCTTCCAGGCTTGGATGAGTGTAAGGGAGAGGAGTTAGATCTTAAGCCATTTCGACCTTAATTTGTTTATTGTGTCAGACAAACTTGCACAGGTTTAAAATGTCGCAGATGTCCATCACTCGGCTACTAATTGCTCTTCTTGTGTATTATACTTTATGATCTTTCACACACACTGTAGTCTCCTAAAACCTTAATTTATAATTTCACCCCCCACCCAGCTTTTTGTATCTCTGATTTGTAGCTTAACTATTTGTTGTTAGGTGCTATCAAGTCGACGACGACTCAATTATGGGCCCTGTGAACAACAGATGGCATCTTAACGATTTCTGCCGTGCTCAGACCCCTTGTTGTCAGTGTCAGTCCAGCTCGTTGAGGTCCTTTCCCTCTTTCGCTAGTGTCTTCTGGTTAGGTGCCGTCGAGTCGAGTGCTACTCATAGCAACCCAGTGAACAAAAGATCTGAACCCTGTTCTATCCATCTTCACACTTCTGACGCACAAGAACCCATTGCGGCAGTCACTGTGTTGAGGATCTTTGCACTCCTTCCACCCTTCCCAGCATCATGACTTTCTCCGGGAACAGTCCCTCCTCGCAGCATGTCCAAAGTATGTGAGGCCATGCCTCATCATTTTTGCCTCCAAAGAGCAGTCAGGCTGCACCCTCTCTGAGTCATATCTGGTTGTTCTCTTGGCCTTCCATGGGATGTTCAGTGCTCTTCTCCAACTCCACAGCTCAACGGTGTCGATTCTTTTCCTGTTATCCTTATTCATTGTCCAGGTCTCAGATGCATGACCTGAGTCAGATGCACCTTAGTCCTCAGACTGACATTATTCCTCAATAATTTGGAAAGGTCCCTAAATGCAGATTTTCCCAGTGCAGTGCATCTCTTTATTTATTGATTGACTGCTGGTACCAACGGTGTTAATTGTGGATCCAAGTAAGATGAAGTTGTTGACTGTTTGAGTCTCCTCTCCATCCGTAATGACACTGCCATCTGGTCCAGTGGTAATAATCTTTGTCTTCTTGACATTGAGATGTAATCCATACAGAAGGCTGCTTTCCTTGATATTCTGCAACAAGTGCTTCCAAGTCCTCACTTTTAGCAAGCAAGGTGTGTCACCTGTATAATGCAGGTTATTGATGAGTCTTCCTCCAATCCTGATGTCACACTCCTCTTCATAGAGTCCAGCTTCCTGGATAATTTGCTCAGCATACAGATTGAATAGGTATGGAGAGAGAATACAACCCTGATGCACTCCCTTCTCAATTTTAAACTATGCAGTGTTCCCCTGTTCTGTTTTACACAACAGCTTCCTGGTCCAGTTACAGGTTCTGCAAGAGCACAATTAAGTGCCCTGGGATTGCCATTCCTCTCAATGTCAGTCACAACTTGTTATGATCCACACAGTCAAATGCCTTTCTTAGTCACTTAATTGTTGTAATATATTCAGATGGGGAAAACCACATGTTGTAATAAATTGAGAACAGTTCTATTACAGCCTATCTCAGTTGCTACATGGTGACCCACATTTGGTGGGTATCTTGTCCTGTGTGTGTTCCTGCTTGATGCCTTCTCTTTCCCCCTAAAAAACCCTTCCATACTTAGTTTAGAAAAACTGACATTAGGGCAGGCAAGGATCAGAGCTATTGTCCATAAGGCTGCTATGACTCATTGAGGACAGCACATTGTATCTCAACATTATTCAGTTCTCATTTCATTGTTTTCAAATTAGTATTATATGTCCTATACAGTGAACTTTATTTAGGTTGAATTTTTATTTCTTTTGTCCTAGATGATGCTGGAAATCGACTTCGGTTTCAACTCGAGTTGGAATTTGTGCAGTGTTTAGCAAACCCAAATTACCTTAATTGTAAGTTGTTGAGCATCTCCTAGCATTGAGGACCAATGTTAATGATTCCTGACTGAAGAGTTGTAATTCATAAGAGTACCATTTTATACATTGTCCCTTGCTTAATGCTAACCATGTACTGGTGTAAGGATATAATTGAGCATGCTGGGACTTATTTTGAATCATTGTGAGTTGGTAGTGGGTTAGTAAGTAAGTAGATTTTTATATCAGAGTCACAAACCAGTGACCCAAGGACTGGTTTTACTTACAGACATTTATTTGTGCCTTTCAGTTCTTGCCCAAAGAGGTTACTTCAAAGACAAAGCTTTTGTTAATTATCTTAAATACTTGCTTTACTGGAAAGAACCAGAATATGCCAAGTATCTAAAGTAAGTATAATTTTATAATTCTGAATATTTGTACATATTTTTATTATGTACCAAACAATGGTATTTAACACATTTCTTAGTTTTACATTGGAGGAAAAAAGAATTTAATTCTTTGGGCCTCTTAGTTATTGTTAATACTAGGCTGTCCATTGGTTATTTACTGCTTTTGTCTGCCTCTCACCTCCCCTTTCCCTCATTCCCATACCAAAACCAGTATTTTTTTTCACACAGAAGCTGACATCATCTTCTAAAACTATAAATCAGAACATGCCACTTTCTCCAGTCTTTTTCCATGGGCTAAGTTTCTATATGATCTTGCCCCATTTTGTCTGATACTGCCTTGTGCAACTCACCCCATCTCTTTCATTCTCTGAACCTAAGGAAACTCCAGCCTATAAATAAAATAGCCATAGGCTGAAAATTAAACAACACAGAAAGGAGTACTCATAGGGAAGGTGTTCCGAGGTGCCTGAAACAAGGTAATCATGCCTAAGTCTTATGGCTGCTATTTTTCAAATGTGTTCAACACTGTACCTTTTTTTAAAAGTATATAATTCATTTATTGATCATTCAACTTATACATGAATATTTTTGTTCTACATCACAGGAAGCATATAACCATAAAAATCTTTTAATGGTAAAAATAAACCTTAACTAGATTGTTGTTGTTTGTTGTTATGTGCCATCGAGTTGCTTGCGACCCTGTGTACAACAGCCCTAAGCTGTGCTCTGTCCTGTGCCAATCGCACCGTCTCTGATACACCCATCCCGATTATCCCAGTCACTGAATCAATCCCCCTGATAGAGGGCCTTCCCCTCCTGCGCTGTCCCTCCACCCTCCCAAGCATGATGTCCCTCTCTAAGGACCAGTCCCTCCTTATAACATGTCTAAAATATGTTAGACGGAACCTCAGAATCCTTGCCTCCAAGGAGCCACCCAGTTTGACCCTTTCCAGGATGAATCTCTTTTGTTTCCTAGCAGTCCATGGTACCCTCAGTACTCTTCTCCAGCACCAAAGCTCAAAGGCATCAATTCTCCTTCTATCCTCCTTGGTCATTGTCGAACTCTCTGATGCTTAAGAAGTGATAGCAAAGACCACGGCCTGTATCAGACACACCTTAGTCTCCAGAGAGACACCATTGCTCTTAAGTACTTTGGAGAGATCCCTAACAGCAGACTTTTCCATGGCAATACGTCTTTTAATTTCCTAGCTACTGGTGCCAAGAGTGTTGACTGTGGAGCCATGCAAACTAAAGCTGTGAACAATCTCAATCTCTTCACCATCCATCCTGATGCTGCCAATTGGCCCAGTGGTGAGAATCTTTGTCTTCTTGACATTGAGCCTCAATCCATATTGGAGGCTGCAGTCCTTGACCCTCTGCAGCAAGCGCTTCAGATCCTCCTCAGTTTCAGCAAGCAGGGCTGTGTCATCTCCATATCGTCAGGAAAAAATAGTGAAGTTATTTTTCTGAACTGGTAACAGTTGTTTGAGAGAGCCAGCAAGCCTCAGGATAGCAGTGGAACCCTTTGCATCTTTATTGACTATTCGTAAAGAACCACTCATTTACTGCAATCCCAGAGGTATGTGGTTTGAATCCACCAGATGCTCTGCTAGAGAAAGTGGGGCTATCTCTTCCAGTACCAGTCAGATCCGACTTGATAGTACACACACAAAAATTAATAAAAATTTTTAAAAAAGAATTATTCATTTATTACTCCAAAGAAAACACTTTTTGTTTTTAAATTATTATCAGAACATGTAAGATTTCATCTTAAGAGAAACCTTAGCTTTAGAGTGGTTGGTATAACTGGAATTAAGGAGAGGCCTTAGGTAACCACCATCAAGATCAATCTTAACTGCATTATTTATTGCTGAGAAATGGTCATTACACTTGGATATTTCCATTGAGCAGAAAATAGTGTTTCGTTCAGGAGCAGTGGATTCCATTGTTGGTCAAGTGTAACCCTTAATTCTTTATTATTTTGTGAGAGCGTATCCTTGAATCATCAACCTTGTTTTTGCTTTTTGTCACTAGGTTAATCTGAAGCCCATGCCCACTTGATTATTTCCAGATACTGAAATTCAGGAGGTTGCAAACTAACCCCTAGTGAGGCATCTCATTTGGTCTGTAGCAAGGTTTTAAATACATGTAAAGATTGGAAGATTTCATGTAATAGCCCAGATTTCCAGCTGCTGTTTAGTCTTTGGAAAATCTGGTAACCTCAAGTGTTTGTTTTCCCAATTCAGGGACTGTTTGAACCTGAGGAGCAGCAGCTGCCTTTTCTAGACACTTCCCATCACTTAGCCGGCTTCACTAATGACTTAATTATGAAATGTTATTATTGTCATTTCTCTCACTCATTTTTCAAGTTCTCTGACTGTGCCATGCTTATTCTTCACTTACTCTCAAAATTTTACTAGCATTTATAACCACAGTGTGGTGGTGGTGGTGTTGTTGTTATGTGCCGTCGAGTCGAGTCGTTTGCGACTTATAGCGACCCTATGCACAACAACCCTAAACCCTGCTCTATCCTCCGCCAACCGCACTGCCTCTGACACACCCATCCCAATTACCCCAGTCACTGAATCAATCCATCTCATAAGAGGGTCTTCCCCTCCTGCGCTGTCCCTCCACCCTCCCAAGCATGATTCAAAATTAGGATGTTGATACAGCACTGTTACCGAATCACTTAATTCTCATTTGCCAGTTGTCCCACTGATGTCCTAAATCTGATACAGTATAATTTCTTGTATTTAACTGTCATTCTTGTTTTCTTTAACTTGAGTGTCTTGGTCTTTTTTTTTTCTTTCACAATCTTTACTTAGATGTTTTCTTTCTTGGTGTATCAGGAATCACATTCACACGTAATTAATGACCTAAGAATGTCGTGATATAACTTTATGACTTAGTTATCATTCTGGCTGCCAGTTTCTCCACTATTAAGTTACTGGGGTTTTCCTCCTTGGATTTAACAAGCCTTTAGGGATAGAACCTGAGACACAGAAGTAACTTATTTCATTTTGTGCTTGTCCCCAGTAATGCTAGCATTCCTTGTAGACTCATACTCTAAACAGTTTTTACTGTGCTTTTCTATTATTCCTTCTACCTTGTTACTTGGAATTCTATTTTAAGGAAGAACCTTCAAATTGCCTTATTTATTTTTATAATGAAATTTGTGGATTCTTATTTTAGGAATTATGTAAATTATTTTGCTCTAATTATTTCTAATATTGTCATTTGGAGCCCCTTAATTTTTGTGTACTTTTGACATAACCCCATCATCTTTGAGCACTTGTTTACTTTCTGGTATTATAGAATGATCTAGGTTCATCTTTTACGTTCCTCGTCCTGGTTCTGCAATTGGGCATTTCTCTAAGGAACCCTGGGAAATAGTATTTAAAAAAACCACTTTTTGAGCACTAAAGGTACTCCTTGATACCACAAAAGTATTGCTTCAGCACTGTTTCAGCACATAAAGGTCGGAAATAAAGAGCTGCACATGACATATGTATTTTTATATATTTTTCTGTGTATATATATTAGAAGTATTGAATTTATACGGTTTTCGATTCCAGCCCAACAACAAAAAAATCATTTTAGCCTTTCCCCTTTCCTTATCTGAAGTTTCTTTTCTGATAGCTAGAAATTCGGCTTTTTACCAGATTGCTCAATCCTATAGTATACACAAAGTAATTTCAGAATTGTTACATCCTTGGGGAAGATTTGAGTATATTTGTATATAGTTCTTTTTGAAATTTAGTCACTTTTAAAAGTTCTCTTTCACTGGTGATGAAAACCTCCATGAGACTTCCTGATCTCAGTGCCATCTCTGTTCGGTGGCAGCTGCCCAAGGTTTATTATTTAGCAATAATAAACATATTGCTAAAATGAAAAAAAAAATGTTTATATTCCTCATTTTGGAAACCATTAGAATAATATTATTTGATCCAAGTAAGTTTCTGTGTAGCATTAGTAAAATTATTTTACTTTATGAACTTAAATTTTATCTCTGAAATGAGTAATTAATTAAATTCTACCTTTTTAAATAACTAGCTGCAGGGACCACTGGTGGTATCTTTCTTGACAGTTTGAATCCAACAGTGGCTCCATGGGAGAAAGATGGGCAATCTCCTCCCATGCATTTTAGCATCTTGAAAACCCACTGGAGAGAGCTTTTTGAGTCAGTTTTGACTTGAGGGCAAGGGGTTTGACTTTTTGACTTCTCTGCATATCGCAAGGGGAGTATGTCTGTGCATAGAGGGGAATCTGTAACTCCCAAATATCATTAAGTTAAAGTTCTTTGTTGATAGGTTACGTGATCATCTTTAAATAATTAACGGAATTGTTGTTTGTTAAATTATGTATAAATAACTTAAATAAATTAAACTTAAATACAGGTATCCTCAGTGTTTACACATGTTGGAACTGCTCCAGTATGAACACTTCCGAAAGGAGCTGGTGAATGCTCAGTGTGCAAAATTTATTGATGAACAGCAGATTCTGCACTGGCAGCACTATTCCCGGAAGCGGATGCGTCTTCAGCAAGCCCTGGCAGAGCAGCAACAACAAAACAACGCATCGGGAAAATGAGGAAAAAACCCCCCAAAAAATAAAACCCCAAACCAGACACAAAGCAGGCTCCTAAGACATGTATATATTCTTTTGTACAGTGGAAAAACCCCACCACCTGAGATTCTTATCTGCCTTTACTGTGGTTGTACCTTTGGAGTGCTATATTTAATCCAGTTAACTTTTTACTGTTAATAAATTATTTCTTTTAAAGCAGAATTTTTTTTAAAAAAAATTTTATTACTGTGTGTGTGTGTGTGTGTGTGTGTGTGTGTACCATCAAATCAGATCTGACTGGTACAGGAGGAGATTGTCCCTCCTTCTCCAGCAGAGCATCTGGTGTATTTGAACTGCTCTCCTCTGGGATTGCAGTGCAGCTTCTTGCCACTAGGCCACCAGAGCTCACCAAAGCAAAATTGTTTTAACTCAAGTTTCCTGTGAATGTTTTAAGTTTTCATAATTCCTTAACCATCAACTGACTTAAGGAAAACCTTAGATGCTTTGGGTTAATTTAAGCAGACTCTTGGGAATGTCATAGAGTAGGGCCCCGAATATATTAAACCCTGAGTTCTACTTTTGACATAGGTTGTATCTCAGGAAAGCATCTCCTGGAACCTGTAGGATGAGAGAATGGAGTCAGTGACCTTTGAATTGTAGATCAAGAACTGCATAAAGTTCTAATGTTTATAGTAGTAAGTGTTGTATTATCATGCTTTGCAAGATAGCTAGCTTTAAGGAAGAATCACTGGTATGTTGCTGACTAGTGGTAGCAAGTACACTGATTAACCACTAACTGGACTCTGGACCTTAGGCTAGAATAAAGCATTAAGTACTGTGTTCATTCAGGAAAGCTACCACAAACAACTGCTGCTTTCCATTATTTTATTCTCAGAATGCTGCCTATTCATGTCGTTAAGGTAACTTGGCTCAGGGCACACAGCTAGAAGGTGATAGAATCCATGTGATTGGTTCAAGAATTGGAGTTCTTCATACTAGGTTAGTCTCCCCAGTGACTCTAATTCTAACTAATCCTAACCTAGCTAATGTTTAGATACTGCAGTTGAGTGGTCTCTGTTTTCCTTGAGCAATTCTAAAGCCAAAGTTTTAGGACTGTCATTTGGTTTGCAAATTTATGGAATTTTGGTCAAAGATATCCTAACCCTTTTAGAATTTGGAAGCTGTCTACTGAGTAAGGACTTTTAGTTGTTCCATCTCCAACATTAATCTATTTTGCCACTTCAGTAGATTTATTTTACCCAAATCTTAAAGATATCCATATACTGTAGATGGATTCCTGAGTGTTTTAATAGTACAATTCTGTTTCAACAAATAGCAACTCTGAAAATGTATGTGCCTTTGAGTTGCCTGCGACTTGTAGCTACTCTGTGTACACAACAGCCCTAAACCCTGTTCTATCCCGTGCCAATCTGTCTCCGCCATACCTACCCCTATTACTCCAGTCACCTCATCTCTTCTGCGCTGTCCCACTACCCTCCAAGCATGACATCCCTCTTCAAGGACTGATCTCTCCTTGCAACATGTCCAAAGTATGTCAGACAAAGCTTCAGAATCCTTGCCTCCAAAGAGCAGCCTGGTTTAACCCTCTCTAGGATGAACCTGTTTGTTCTCTTGGTAGACAGTAGTATATTCAATACTCTTCTCCAACACCACAGCTCAAAGGCATCAATTCTCCTATCATCCCTAGTCATTGTCCAGCTCTGATGCATAGCAAGTGATTGCAAAGACCATGGACTGTATCAGGACACCTTAGTCTCCAGTTTGACGTCACTACTCTTCAGTACTTTGGAAATGTTTCTGACAACTGACTTTTCCCAATGCAATTCGCCTTTTAATTTCCTGGCTGCTGGTGCCAAGAGTGTTGATTGTGGAGCCAAGCAAACTTTGAAAATAAAACCCAATAATAGCAACTTTGTTTTCCCCCATCATTGTTTATTTAATAAGTACACAGTTTCTAGAGCAAGATTAAGATACCATTGTCATTACTATATCTTACTCTTCAGAGAACATCATTTCCACAAGGCTGGCCTGAAGACACTCAGATTCCACCAGTTTTTGAGGCTGTAAGAGAACAGTCAAATCTTAAACAACTGCTATAAAATACTTTAACATAAAAAATTAAGTCATTCAAAAATTGGCTGGTTATAACAAGTTTTAGGAAATTGTTTAAAATATTTGCCTCAAGTGGAAGTCATAAAAATCCTGGACCCAAGATACCAGGTAGTTTCATACACTGAAACAAGAGACAGCATGCCTATTGCCATCTTGTTTCCCTCAACTCTTCAGAGCACCAGGGGCAGGACTGGACTTTCTTTTCAATCAGTATTACACAGTAACTGGGAAACAGCAATTGACGCTAATGCTTTAAAAGTAGTTAAAGCAACTTTAGGGCTTTTATCGTTTTTTAAGAACAGCTTAAGAAAAAAACTTGGAATGTTCATATATTCAGCTATTTGTATTAACTGCATACTGGGACTGGCCATAGAGATGGACAGTCTTGATTTTTCAACTTTTTAATGAGATCTGGATGGTGAAGTGGTATTTGGTATAAAATAACAAGATCTTTAAAAATCTGAATAAAGACCATTTAATACAGTTTTTACAATAATAGCCAAAAACCCCAAAAAACATTGAAAGAAAAGTACTCACTGTTCCATATTTAAGTAGTGTAGGCACTGCGGTTACTTTCAGCTTTTTTCTGAAGTCATTGTTGGGATCTTTCCAGCTATGCCAAAAAGAAAATGATCACTGAAGGAAGAATATGACAGTTGCACTACCACCCCCAAGCTTGATCACTTCCTGAGAAACTTGATAACACCTAAGCTGGTCACACCAAAGACCAGACAATGGATCCAGTTAAGAGTCTGAGCTTGGAAAAAAGGTGCTAAAACCTAACAATTAACAGGTCAAATTCTGAGAAATACCATCTTAGTCCTCCCCAGGACCCCTAAAGAAATCCCCCAAAGTGCCCGCACCATTTCGATCCTGTCTGCAAGCCACGCGATAAAGGCCTTTTTGTTTCTTGGGACCAATTCCTTTATTTCTCTCCCTCCTGCTCCTTTTTTTTATATCAAACAATAATGAAAAACTTTTTTCACTTCTCCCAGTTTGATATTTTGGTATATTCCTACATTTAATCTTTTAATAATTACTGTTTGTGTTGTAAACATTTAAATAAACTTGAGAACTACAAACAGTTCTCTGCAAAGTTTTTAAGGTGTGACAGATACAAAAGAAATGGAAAAGCCAGTTAAGTTTAGAACTTAAGACTAGGCCAAATCCATTGCATTACCTTCTACATACACATAGCTGAAAGTCTGAATTTTATTATTTTTATTTTAGTAACTTCTACTTGTTTCACCTACCTGATGTTAGCTTAGTATGCATAAATTGAGTCAGAGCCCTTTTTAAGTTTGCATATCTGAAATACAGCATTACATTGCTACTTACTAAGGCTTTTCTCCTACTTGGCAGTAGATGAAAACACATCCTTCATGAATATGCTTCAGACCCTCTCGAACGACTGGTTCAGCTTAAAAAAAAAAATTGCACATGAGCCCTACAACTGATAAACATCCCTTCCTCTATATTCTCATCCTGAAAGTCATCAAACTTAACCTAAAGTGAGACGATAAGCCTAAGAGGCTTTTTTCTGTTCTTAGACCCACATTGATAGGGTAGAAATCCTGCAGGAATTTGACCTCCTGTCCAGCGACTTCAGGCGAAGAAACAGTGCTCTTTTGGGGAAGCAGGGAGCGCTGGCAGGGACCATAGCCTCTCAAGGGTCAGGCTCCCCCAATGCAAAATGTTCTCTATATAGGCTTACAAGGTAGTGGCTGGAGTCTCTTTTCTGTTGGCTAGTGTGGTTTTCTTGGGTGGTTTTTGTTTTCTTTTAATGATCATAGTTACAGGGTTTATTAGGATATAACTCAGGATCAGGATCCACTTGGAAGTTAAAAGGATCAATTCAGCAGACAGAATATAGTGTCAGTCAGGATGACTTCTAACCAAGAATGCCTTCAGGCATTCTATTGGCTCGTTTTTACGTACATTAAGATTGGTTAGTTAAACCTTTTGGGCAAATGGGGCTTAGGTCAGTGAGGTACACAAGGAATAAGGTCATAGGTTAGTTCAAATGTCCTCATTAGGTTACAGGGCAGCCAGCCCTTTGCTGCTGGGCCGGTTCTTCTGTTATTTATTGCTGAAGGTATTATCTCCCTTATATGGCTAGAGCTGTTCCCGGCCACCGTTCCAGGAGGTAGAGTCTGTTAAACAGGCCTCCGGGTTTTGCTTAACTAAGAATCTTCTTGGGTTTGGGCCTGCATCAGTAATTGCAAACTGAGATTATTAAAACAGGATGGTATAATTTTAAAACAGACATCTGGTGCCTCTAGCCTGCAAAACTGGTGGCTTTGCCCTAGAAAAATCTGAGTCTTTAGTTATGCAAAGTACTTTGAATTGCCTGTTTGCCAGGAGAGGAAATGCATTTTTCCTGGATAAGCATCTACCTCTTCCAAACTGTTTTTCTCAGTCATACGTAAATTTACCCTAAACTGTCTGTTTATCAGGAGAGGAAATGCACTATTTCCTAGATTAGCATTTACCCCTGAAACAGATTTTCTTAGTCATATGCAAACTATACCATAAGTGGTCTGTTTACTAGTAACTGTAGGAAAACTGTCCTTTTTTAATGTAAAAATCCTTTTAACTTTGAACTAGCAATAGGAATATGTTAGGTAGATTAACACCTAATCCAAGTATAAAAGCAAAAGACCACCCTTGGACTCGGAGGAATTTTTTGAGAGGATTCTCTGCTCTCCCAAATCTACAATAGTGTGCTTTTGATAATGCAATCCGAGTGTTTTAGGCGTTTAGGTTAAACATGAAGATTTAGGACCAATCAGAGTCCTGAGTGCTTCCACCCCACCGTGCCCAAAACAATGAAGGACCCAAACACATTTGCTGACTTTGCAGATATATTCTGGGGAAGTTAAAAATGTCTTGCAATAGTAAATTACAAGATCATCTAGGACGGGCGGAGAAGGATTCAGCTGCAGTAAAGAAGGGACCTGGTAAGAACAGAAGCCAAGAGGACAGACAGCTCAATTCACCCTCTCCGGGACCACAACTTTCTCGAGTCAACCCAGCTTCTCCAGTCGTGGCCGGTGTCCCAGCGCTTAACTCTGGGGAAGCACACCTCCTGGCCCTCACCTTGCACACAGTCAGGGCACCAACTTTTCCCTTCGGCGTCCTTAGAACCCGTAAAGTAGGCGAAAATGGTCTTGCCATTGTGCTGCTCTACGGCCTGGTTGAATTCCTCGAAGCCCATCACGGGTACTTCCTCATAGCGGGCCATTGAGACAAAAAGTCCCAAGTAAGGAAAAGAAATAGCAAAACTCGCCGCCCTGGGGCGGGTCCCACGTGGGACGGGCCAAAGCTGTTTCCGGGTGAGCTAACTGAGTCGTGTCTGAGGACGCCATCACGCCTACGGGAGCCTCTAGAGGCCATAACTCATCAGCATCTTTTTTTTCTGCTTTCGCCCCTCGAGTCTTTGGTTGTCAGTTCCACTGCCAGTGTTTAGTACCCCTCCAAACCCAGACTTCAGGTCCTAGCCCTGACTGTGTATATAAGCTGCAAAACCTGCTGCTTTACAACGTCTGGGTCCTTAGGTGGCTCAGGAGCCTTAACGACTCCCAAGCCGCCCTGCGCCCGTTGCTATGGCGACTGGGCGAGCGGCCGGAAGCAAGGCCTAGCAGGGGGGCTCCGACCCGCCCCTTATTAGCCGCGCCTCTCCCCAGGCCAGGTGGGCTCGGGTCGCAGTTGGGGGGATTCTGGGTAGCTGCGCAGTGAATCTCCGACTCGGAGGAGGGGAAACTTGGATCCGGGAAGGACTCTGCTGCTTCACACCTACGAACTGCGTCTTCTGCTTTGGCTTTTCGGGGGTTTGGGCGGGGGGAAGGCAGGGTGGAGGACTGAGAAAAAGCCTGCGAGGGCCGAAGCTGGATGTGAGAGTGCGTGTGTGCATCCCCCGGGGTGAGGTGCTAGAAAGAGTACCCCGATAGTGCGCCGCGGAGGAAGGAAGGGCAGGAGTGTGCGACGATGAGCAGAACGGTAGGCCGCGTGGCTTTCCAAGCCACCGGGATGCCCATCCTCTGTGTGAGCTCGAGCAGGCCGAAGCGGGGAGTGCGAAGGCCTTGGGGGAGGAGATGGGCTGCAGGCATACCCCGAAGCCGGGGCGCCAGGCGCCGCTCGAAGCTCTCAGTTTGGGGCCCTGGCTGTGTGAGGACAGACAGACCGAGGGAGAGTCGGCAGCCGCGGGGGAGGAGACCCCCTGGGGAGACGCCAGGGGAGAGTGAGGAGCACGAGGCCTCGAGCACACGTGGGGCCGTCGGGTCGACTGCTGCTCCCAGAGACCCCGAGAGTGTGTGGGTGAACGGGGCTGTGGGGGAGCCCGAGGTCGTGGGGCCTGCTGGCTCTGTGTGGGTGACTGGAGCTGGGGCTGAAGGAGAGACCGAATGTGCGAGCCCTCGGGGTTGTGAGCGAAAAGGGCGCCCTGCGTGTTTGGGGCGCGGGGGCATCCTAGAATTGTGGTTGAAGGTGCAGGCCATGAGGGCAGCCACCGGATGTGGGGAAGAAAGAGTTGAGCTCTGCCCCATGTCTGCAGGGGAGGGGCCCATGGAGAGGGGCGTCTCCGGCCAGGCTTCGTGGGTCGAGACCAGCCGCCGTGGCCTCACGGGACCGTGGGTGAAGGAGCAGCCCCGAGCGTACCCGCGAGTAGCAGCCCGGGCTTCGGGCATGTGTGGACAGGGACAGGTCGAGAGGAATCACGGACATGCAGGAGGAATGCTTGGGGCTGTGCAGGAGACGGGGTGTCGGGCCGCCCCAAACCAAGGGAGGAGGACCACTGGGGTGCCTGGAGCCGGAGGGCGCGCAGTGGTTGCAGGGGTTTCGAGGGCCCTGGAGGAAGAAGCCAGTAGGAGAGGCCCTGGGGTGCTGGGGAGAGAGCAGCCCGCACAGGCTCCTCTTGCTGTGGGAAGTGAGTCAGTCTATGGCAATCCGTCCGCTTTATGGGGAAGGGGACAAGTGGTGGGGGCACCTTACGTTGTTGAACCTGGATCTGTAGGTGTACCAGGCTTGTGTCAGAGAAGACAGGCTGTTGAGCAGGTGGGCTATGGGGGTATCCCCGGCCTGTGGAACCCAGGACAGCCCGTAGGGGTGCCTTGTGTGCTCCAAGAGGAGGCCAGATATGGCGGCGATCCAGGATTCCCGGAAAGAGGACAAGTTGTATGGGTAGACACCGGATCTGGAGGTGACCCAGGGTCATGGGGAGCTACCCAGGCTGCAGGGGTATCTGGTGCTGATGAGGCAGGAGCAGGTTCTGGAGGTCCCCCAGGCTTGTGGGGGACAGACCAGCCTATGGGAGGAGTACCTAAAACGCAGACAGCCTGTGGGAGTGTTCCTGGTCAGTGGGGAACAGAGCAGCCCATGGCCGTGGCCCCACAGGCCATGGCAGAAGAGACCGGCTATGGGGGTGCCCAAAATCTGTGGAGTAGACAGCAGGCTCTGGGGCCACCTCCAGCTGAGCCAGTACTAGGAGTTGTCGTAGGGGACGAGCCATGCTGTGGAGCGTGCTGCGGGCAGACCCTGAGTCAGTGGGAAAGGAGGCCAGCTATGGGGGAGCAGGGGACACTGGTGCCTACAGCTTTAAGGATGCCAGGGCCTGTGGATCAGGAGGCTGGCTGTGGGGATGCTTCTTGTCTATGTAGGAGTAGACAGGTCGGGGGGCTGCCTGGGACCGTGGCGATACCTGAGGCAGCAAGCATGTACAGGTATGCTCCAGTCGGGGTCCTCACTGCTGCAGATGTGTCCGCTGCCGAGGGGTTGCCAGCTGCTGTGTGGGTGTCTGGCCCAGCAGGGCAGGAAGCCAGCCCTCAAGATGTTTTAAACTTGTGGGAAAGAGTTGGGACTGCTCAAATTCCGGTGGCTTCAGGACTGCCCGAGGAACTGTGGCCTGTGGAGGCCGATTTGGGTTCTAGAACTTACCCAGGATTGTGGGAGAGGAGACCAGTTGCCAGGGTTCCCGGTCCTCTGAGTGTGGAGCCTGGCTCTGGAGGTTTCCCAAGCTCACTGGGACAGAGACAGACGGTACAAGTACCTGTGGCTGTAGGGGTGCCACCAGCTGGAGCCGTCCCCGTGACGGCCAGGTGGCCTAGGCTCGTATGGGAGGCGACTGGCCCCAGAGGTGACACAGGTTTCTGGGGAGGGAGAGGAACTACTGGAATACCGACAGATGCCACAGGGTTGCCCACATCTGCCAGGATGGCTGGGGCTTTGGGGGCACATACTGGCTCTGGGGACCTCTCAGGCCTGCCAGGAGGGATACTCACTGGAGAAGTACCCGTGGCTTTGCACACAGCCACCATGGTGCCTGGGCTTGGGAGAGAGGATGCACATTCTGGGGGTCTCTTGTGTTTATCAGGCAGAAGACAGACCTCTGGGATACCCGTGTCTACTAGGGTTTCTGTGCCTGTAGGAGTGCCAGCGGCTGCTGGGCCTCTGGTGGGAAATACTAGCTCCCAGGATGTCTCAGGCATGTGGGGACGAAGACAGGTTGCTGAAGTTCCTGGTGCCGCCAGAGTCCACAGCAGCTCTGTGGAAGGAGAGGCTGGTTCTAATGGGGTTGTAAGCCTTTGTAGGAGACCGATTAGATCAGTCCCTGAGGCTGTACAGGGGCCTCAGTCTTTGGGGGTTCTTGCAGCTGTGGGAGTACCTGTGCCAGGGCAGTTGCCTGCTGCAGTATGGGTGACTGAGCGTTCAGCAGAGGAAATGAATGAAGGTGCCTCAGGCCTGACAGTGGTGAGAAGAGAATCCGCAGAGGGGCCTGGGGCTTTGAGGGAGGAAATAGAAGGTAGGTGTGTCCAGGCCAGCTGTGGGGGTGAGTCCAAGATACAAGGCCATCCCAGACCTGTGGGAGAAGAAACGGATAGTGGGAATACTCCAGGAGTGTCAACGGCAAGAGTGGCTGTAGAGGGCATTCCTGAAACTGCAGGGCAACTTCCAGTACCAGAGGGAGAAACGGGCTCTGACAGTGTCAGAGGTCATCCACAGCAGAGAGTGAGAAGACAGGCTGGCAGAGCTTCTGGAAGAAGAGTGAGGGGGAGCAATTTGGGAGAGAATTGTGTGGAGGAGGATAGATTGAGAGACACATCTCAGTAGTTCATGTAGAGAACAAGTGTTTTGGGGACCTTGGGGCCTTGGGGGAGGGAATAGGTGGGGGGAGGTTTTGTCCTTGGGTCATGGGTAACGACATTATTGGGACAAAGGGAATGTTACTTTGGAGAGGTCTCAGGGTATGTAGGGTGACACATTGGGAAGTTTACTGAAACACTGGGGCAGGGGAGAGATGGCCCGGGACTGAATGGGGGGTAGGTATCCCTGGGTTTTGTGAGGGTGTGTGTGTGTGTGTGCGCGCGCGTGTGTGTGTGTATAGTATCACTTGAGGTATATCTTGGAGCTGTGGATCCCAGTCTTTTCCTCATGGACAATGGATTAAGAGTCCTTTGACCCGAGGATGCATTCGGGGGAACTGCTTCTGCAGGCTCAGTTTCTGTGCATTCCAGCACCTGAACTGTGACAGTGACAAGCCATTTGGGATTGCCTCGTTCCTGTGCTGCCTTCCGTCTGTTTTGTTTTGATCATGTCTCAACAGTTTTCGAATTAAGAAATCTTGGACAGCAGCCTTTCTACTCCTACAGATGTGTCTGTTTTAAAGCAAATCCAGGCTACAAACTTTTTGATTCATTCAGAAGCTTAAAATTAGAGATTTTTTTTTCAATCTTGTCCACATGATTGACTATAGGATTCCTTGAGAGAACTGATTTTTCATTGCATTTTAAACTAGTCAGCTTACAGAAATCCAGCTTGACTCAACAAGTGTTTGTCTACTATGCTCAAAGCACTGTGTTGTGGGAAATAGAAGAGCAAGACAAGGCCCTTACCCTCAAGGAACTTTTGTCTAGCTGGGAAGCTGAGACCTAGACCTGTGAAATAGGTAAATAACAATATGAGCAAACACAATCTGTGCTATGTGCCGTAATGAGTGTTGGTCTGGTGTCTGTACAGACCATGCAGAATAGGGAGGGACCTTGATGTGGGTCTTAACCTGTTTTCAAAATGTTTTTGTATCTGTAATTGTGTGTATGCACAGAGCAGTGGGGAGGACAGGAAATTGAAATTTAGGGAGATTGCTCAGCAAGTTAGTGGCAGATCCTCACTAAAATTAGAGGTCTGCCATTTGAGCTGCCTAATACAGAGTGCAGCATGCTGCTTATTGACTCATCTACTAATGTAGACACATCGCTGAAGCCACCATGATGGGAAGCATGGTATTATAACAACTCTGGAGAATAATAACCTACCATAAACTTTGGGAGAGTTGAAATTCCAAATGAAAAGAATGTAACATTGTCATTAAATTAGTATAGGCCTGCATTTTTCTTTTTAAGAAATTAAAATTTCAGAAGCATGGTTATATTTATTTGTAAATGGGAAAAATTCATATGCCTGTTCTTAATCACTCGAGTATAAGTTTGTTATTTCTAAAATCTTGTCTTATCTGCATGACCTTGTTTTTTCTTTTCCATTTAAACTGTTGATCTGAAAGTAGTTTTTCATTTTAGGCAATGGTTCCAAGAAAGATCTGTTGGCTGGTGACTAGGTCCCCCACTCTTGTTTTGTGCCATCCAGAGCAATGGGGCCGGACAGACCTATTCCAGCCTGTGTTCATCTTGCACCCGATACCCAAATAGATGGAAGACCTGACTTCAGGAAACTTCACATTGAGGTAATTTTCCTTGTTTTCTAACTTTTTACTTTGAGACATTTCAAACATAAAGGAAAGTTAAAAGGAAAGGGCAAGTAAACACTTTAATTTACTGGCTAGATTGAATAATTTTTAACATTTTGCCCTAGTTTTCTGTTTTCCCAGTCATCTGTAGTCTTTGTTGAATAATTTCAAAGTAAGGTACAAATAATTGTGATACAGCTAAATATTTCTAAATACTTCTAAAATGAAATTCTGCTTATCCTTAATGTCATTATTACACTTAAGAAAATAGACCCAGAAGATTAATTCCTAATATTAGCTCATAGTTTTTATTTGGTTTTTCCCACTGGACCTCAAAGTGTCTTTTGTTTTTTTTCAAAGTGTCTTGAAAGTTGAAATTTATAGTGATTAGCAGTTAATATTTTATTGATTTTTTAATCCTATATCTATTTTTGATCCATCCCTCTTGAGATCCATAGTCAAGCCATCTATTTTTGACACACTTCCAAGTAAATTGCAGCCATAATGTACCCTAACTATGTCAACTTTCAAATCACTTGAGTTCAGTCTTTACAGTTTCTTTTCTTTTGATGTAAAATTTATGCTAGAAGGCACACATTTTAAACTATCTGTTGAGTTTTAGGCTACATTCTCATAAAACCTGTACTTACATCAAGATAAAGATCATCTCCATTACCTCAGAAAGTTCATCTTCATTACCTCAGAAAGTTCTCATGTCCTCACCCCTTGAAATAAGCAGACAGCCAGACTCACACAGCCATTGAGTTGATTCTGACCCATAGCAATGCTCTGTTGGGTTTCTGAGGTGGTAAATCTTTATGAGAGAAGAATACCTAGGTGGATCCCATCTTTTAACTTTCTGAGCAGCTTAACATACACTAGTATCAACTACTATTCAAACTTTTTTCTATTGTAGATTAGTTTCCCCTTTCATTTGGTTTGTACTCTTTGAGTAAGCCTTCTCCCTCCACCATTATGTAATGATGTTGAGATTCAGCCCCATTGTTCCTTGTTAGCTCCTTTTTAATACTGAGTAATGAGCTGTGATGGCATAAATATAACACTTTACTTTAAAAAATTGTACTGCTGACCCAAAGGTGCATCCCTGGTAGTTGGAATCTACCAGTGGTTCTCAGAACAAGGTAGACAGGCTTCTCTTGTGATTTCCGTTGTAGCACCATGGTGGAGGGTCGCTGTGAGTTGGAGCCTGCTTGAAGGGAGTGAGTTTTGAGAATATTCTGTGGTGTAGGTATTCTCTGGTGATGGACATACCTAGGCTGTTTCCTGTGTGGGGGTATTAAAAATAAAGCTACTAGAAACATTCTTGTACGCATCTTTTTGTGAACATGTATTCATATTTCCTGTGAGTCAAACAGAAATTTTAGGGTAGATATAGAGTAAGTTGAATAAGAAACTGCCAGACCTTTATTAACCTTTAAAAGTGGTTATGCCATTTTCCATCCTTATGGACCAGGTGGGAGCTCCAGTTGCTCCACATCTTTGCCAACACTTGATGTCATGACTGTTCAATGTAACCATTCTCGAGAGTTGCTTAAAACTCATTGCTTAAAAATGTTTTTTTAATATGATTTCAGACTGAAAAAAGTCTGATAATAAGAAAATAATCTGGGGTAGTGGTTTGTTTTATGTGACATAGACTTCCTGGATACTACCCTACCGTAATCTCCGAATTTTAACCTTCACTGTGTCTTCTCTATACATATATGTACACACATGAATACATTTTATTTCTGAACTACTGAAGTTGCACGCATGATGATCCTTCTACTTCTGTGACCTTGTATGTGTTTTGTGAAAAATAAAAATTATATAAACATAATAACACAGTGATCAAAATTGGGAAACTAACATTGAAATAATATTGTTCTGGATTCCATGAACGTAATGAGATTTTTGTCACTTGTCCTGATAATACATTCTTTAGCAAAAGAAATGCTGAGGTTATTAGTAGCATTGAGTTGTCTCCTTAAGATCAAAAATTTCTGTATTTTACTACACTTAAGTTTTTGAAAAATATGGCAGTTGTTTGGGAATTTTTTCTCAACTTGGATCTGTCTGATATTCCTTCATAATGAGATTTAGGCTGAGCATGTTTGGCAAGAAAACCGTTGACACAGGGCTGAGTCCCTCTTACTGCCTCATATCAAGAGGTACTTTGTAGAGATTTGTCTCAACACTGGTAATCGTCTCAAGCCTTTTGGGCTTCTGTGATTTCGAACACCTTGCATTGCTGCCAGTAATAGTAACAAATCATTTGGTTATTATTTCTGTCAGAGACCCCCCATCACAAAATTACTCTTAACTTTTGTGATTAGGAATTCTCAATCTTCGAGATTTTTAAAAAATTTCCTTTTACTTCTCAGATTCATCACCTAATTTTAGCATCTGTTATTGATTGTTGCCTCATTCATTTTGTTATGATGTCTTGGCAAATGATTTTTCTAACTTTGTGTTGTTATTGTTGTATACCATATGGTTGGAACCAACTCATAGCTTACCCTCTGGCCTGGCAGGTTTTCAGAGACAGTTAATCTCATGGGATGAGATTGCCTATTTTCCTGCGGAGCCGCTGGTGGCCTTGAACTGTCTGCCTTCAGTATTGCAACATTTTTTCCACTAGGCCACCAGAGCTCCCTAACTTCATCATACATTTTGCATTTATCAGTTGTTGCCATTCTAAGAAAGAGCTTTCTCTTCTCACATTTATCTTTGTTAGTGCAGGCTGTAATTTAGTAGGGTAAATTCTGTAGTATGATTTTTATATTTAAGTTGTCTATAATTTGACTGGTGAGAGTCAAGCCAACTCCTCTGTCCCTTTGACTTGTTCTCATTAATCAGAGATCATGTTTGGATACTCAGATGAATTTAAGGACAAGTAGACCAGGCTCAGCTTGTCATTCCTCTATCCCATCCTTGGCACGATCCATTTTTCTAGCACTCATCCACTTTAAGTGCAGAATGGCATTTAGAAGTTAATATCTGCCTGCACCACCCACACCAGTCAGGTCATATGTTACCCTCCACTGGGTGACTGAAGCTATAAATTTTTGTAAGAGGATACTACTTACCTTTCTAGTAAGGAGCAGTGGTAGAATTGAACCATGAACTATTTAATTAGCAACCTGTCACATTACGCACTGCACTACCAGAGCTCCTTGTCTGGGTATGCTTATTACTAGTGGGTGTCATTGTTGCTAGGACCTCAGAATCAAGATAAATGTGAATACTTGTTTGTGTATATGTACACATGCAAACATACCTGTATTTTTGTGCAGATCCACGCTCACATACCTTTATAAGCACTTCCTTTTTTATCATTTTATGTTTGTCTGTGTGTCTAAATTAAACCCATGAGTTCATGTTGTTAAGTGCCGTCCAATTGAGTGTGACTCTTAACACTCCCTATGAACAGGAGATCTGAACCCTGTCCATTCCTGTGACATCTTTATCATCACCGACCAATTTGAGCCCATTGCCATAGGCAGTATCAATCCACCTCATTGAGAGTCTTCCTCTCCTCTCCTTTTTTGATTTCCCATCTTTCCAAGTATGATGTCCCTTTGCAATGAATAGCATCTCCTAACAACATGTCCAAAGCATGTGAGATGATTCCTTGCCTCCAAGGAATACTCTGGTTGCACCTTTCTCAGGACATACTTGTTCGTTCTTTGGCCAGTCCATGGAATATTCAACCTTCTTCAATACCACAGCTCAAATGTTTCTGTCAGTCGTCCTTATTCAGGCACTCTACCATATTTTTAATATTTTCCTTATTTGTAATTTCTTTCCTCAGTAGTAGGGAGCTCTGGATGCTTAGGGGAGTAAGGAATTGCATAGCCAACCCAGAGGTGGTTTTAGCCCACCAACTGCTCTGAGGAGGACCATTGGACAGTCTCCTCTCATGTGATTTACAACTCCTGAAAACCTTCTGAATGGTCAGCTCTGAGTTGATTCCATCTCAACAGCATTGAGTTGAATTCTTCAATGGTACCAAACCTGATTCCTTTTACCTAAGATTATATTTACATCCTAGAATGCACAAAGAGTTTCAGAATCTCAGCCCAGACTTCAGGTGTTTGGGAGAGAAGCCCACTAATTGGAGTTCAGTATTTGTTTAGATTATTTTTTGTTTTCAGCCTGAAAACATATAAATACAGTTTGAGTTTTTAGAAGTTACTTTTATTATTTTCCTTCTCCTTTTTAATTGTGCATGTTATTCCATTAACTAGTATCTGCTGGTTTAATTTTTAGAGGTTTCTAATCAACACCTTTGGTACCAGCTGTTAGAGCATCAGGAGACATACTGCACTGGGCAGGCCCACTGTCAAGGACCTCTCCAGAGTGCTGAAGAGCAGTGCCGGTTTGAAGACGGCTGTGTGCCTAATTCACACCATGGTCACCTGCCCTGCTATGCATCAGAGCTAGACATTCAATGATAGAATTAATGCCTTTGAGGTGTGGTGCTGGAGTACTGAATATCCCTAGACATTGAATGATAGAATTAATGCCTTTGAGGTGTGGTGCTGGAGTACTGAATATCCCATGTACTGCTAAGAACATGCAAAGAGGTCTTGGAGAGGGTGCAGCTGGAGTGCTCTTTGGAGACAGATGGTGAAGCTTTGTCTTTCATACTCTGGACAGGTAGCTAGGCAAGTCTTCCATTGGTGAGGAACATCATACTTTGAAAGATGGGGTCAAGTCAGCAAAGGAGAGAAAGACCTTCAGTGAGATAGATTGACATGGTGATTTCAGCAGTGGGCTTGAGTGTTTCAGGATGGTGAGGATGGCACAGGATAGGGCATTGTTCAGGTTGGCTGTTCATAAGGTCACTCTGGGAGCCATATTTGATAGCACCTAACAACAACATAGACTTTATTTTTCTTTTGTTCTCCCTCCCACCTCCTTCTGTTGCCTTTTCTTTCTGGTATGTGTGAAACAGGAACACAATTCCAAATACCAAAAAAATGAAAAAAGAAATGTTAGCATCTTTAACCTTCCATCCAGTTTCCACCCACACACCCTTCTCCTATTTGCAGTTACAAACAATTTCATATTCAAAGAATATATATCATAGGCACCTTGGTTCAGCTGTGCTTGAGGCATTTGGCTGGCCAGAATGTTGTTTTAACCCACTAGCTGCCCCCTGAGAAGAGAGAGATGAAGGAGCCTGCTCTCATACAGATTCACAGTCTCAGAAACTCTGCTAACTTCTGTTTTACTTCTATCCTGTAGAGTTACTGTTAGTTGGAATTGACCTGATAGAATTGAATTATTTTATTACTTTTTGGGTTTTATTTGTATTGGGATAAGTTTCTAGAAGTCAGTCTTTGGGTCAAAAGGTAAACATATATGGTGTTTTGTTAATGTTGCCACATTTCCTTCTATAAAGCTGGGGGACATTTACTTTCTCACCAGAACCAAATATGAGTGTTTGTTTCTCCACAGCCTTATTGACAGACTCTGTTGGGGAGTGGGTATGCACGCACACCTGCTAATGTGCTAAGGTCAACAATACTACTTTAGTATAGTTTTTAATCTGTATTTTTCTTAGGATATTAAAGAATTTTTTTTAAAATTTTCTGAAAATTAAGTCATTAAAAAAGAAGTCTAATAAAAGGCTCCTATTGAAGATTTCTCCCATGTATTTTTTTACTTATTTTATGAACTTATATTTGTGTATGACAAATAGGATTTATGATTCATTAACTCATTCCCATACATTGTGTGTTATAAAATCAGTCACCATTGGACCATTCCTACCATTACTCCATCTTTTCAGATCTCCGCTGGATCTTTTTTTTATTTTTTTTACCCTCTCCTTCCACCCACCAGATTGTGCCACCCTATGATTTCCCCCCTACTTATCCTCACACGTCTGTTCCTATCCCTTTCCCTCTTGAATCCCTGTACACGTTTTACTAGTTAACCTATAATCATTGTTCCTTAGTACTACACAGTACTTCATGATGTGAATGTACCACAGTTTCTTAATCTGTTCAGTTGTGGTTGGACATTTGGGCTGTTTCCATGTTCCTGAAGTGATGAATGGCTATTGTGAACATTGGTGTACAACTCTTCATTTCTGTCTCAATTGTGATTTCCTTGGATTATATTTTTAGGGGTGGAATAGCTGACTTAAGAAGTTTCTATGTTTTTTTGGTTGGGGTTTTTTTTTTGTTTGTTTGTTTTTTTGTTTTTTTTTTTTTTTAGGAAATGGCAAACTGTCTTCTAGAGGGTTGTACCATTTTATAATTCCACCACATCCTCTCCAGTATGTTACTGCTTAGCACTAATTACTTTCTGATAGAATTTTAGATACTGGATTATAAGCATATACCAGCTAATACATCCTTTATCTAACATGTGCTTTTATTTATTTCTTTTTAAAGAACCAGCTACAATTTAATAGGAATGTTCCTCCACATCCAAGCAATTTGGCGATCAGATATTCCTGTCCACATGCAATTCGAATTGAAAAACTGAAGCACTGCTACAATGAATCATATTCTTGTAAGGATTCTGATTTTAGAAATAGGCCTGACCTGAGCAGTTCTCTTTCATTTTCCATCATCTCAGAAGAGAAACTTAGCTATGCTGTCCACCTGGCCAAACGAGATGTGAAACGGAGACAGTTTGAAGAACATATGAAAGAACAGCATCTCAAAATCCAGCCCCAGATCTCTCAGAAATGCACACATGTGAAGTCTAAAATATGTGAACACAAGGTTGGAAGGAAGGAATCAAAAAGTCAGGACATCTTTCCATGCAGCCATCGGCCATCCAAGGTTGAAATTTCCAGCTCAGGTGCCAAAGTATACGTATACCATTCTCATCCAGGACAGTCGGACCTTACTGTGCCAAGTTCACCACCCACCCGGGATCCAGGACCTCAGCCTAATCCTATGATAGGTGACCACAAAAGCCTGTTAGAAATTCAGCGGCTCCGGAAAGAATTGAGCAGTTGTATACAGAGAATTGAAGAGGTCACTAAAAAAGGTAAGAAAAAGTAAGAGTCTTTATTTGAGGAGAGGTCCTGACTGTAGGAGACTTTAAATGTTTTCATTTGAACCTCCCTAAACTCCTGCCCGCTTCCTGTTTGTTGGCTCACTCATGTATTTACCCTCATGAAAAGATAGTTGGACTTTGTGTTTGATTACCCTATTTTTTTTCTCTGGAGAGTTTGCACCTTGCTAACCCCTGTTTCCAGCCAAAGTCTGTGAAGCAGCAACTTCAGTGTAGGCTGTTCTTTGTAAGTGAAGTGACTGACTGCCAGTCCAGGATTTAGAGTACCTGCTGTCTGCACTTAAATTTTTCTGTCCCTGAGTGCAGAGTATCCTATAATGTTTTCCTTCTTTATTCTTATGTCCTCTGGCAAAAGGATTTTTTATTTTCTAAAAGAAAACATAGGTGCTTTATGGCACTCTGGTGGTGTAAGTCCATAGGTATTTGCAACTGCTAACTCAAGCCATATCTTTTCTTCCTGGTGGTTCAAATCCACCTTGCAAGAATGATGGGAAATCTCCTGTGCCGTTTACTGCCTCCGAAACCCACTGGAGAGTCAGTGACAATGACAGATTGCTATAAATTATATAAATACATGCTTTCAGTTTTTTGCGCTTGTCTTGTCGTGGACTGATAACACTTTAGGGGAGGCCCCCTTCCACTGCCCACCCTTTTGGTGGCACTGAAGTAAGTGCTCACTAATGTTCCCGAAGGGCTGCTCTGTAGCAGGGCTGCATCCACAAAGTGAGCAATTAAAACCTGCCGAAGTCAGCTGTCATTTTTGTTCACATAAATGTGAGGATCCTATTTCTTCCTTGTGTACCTCAAATGGGAGAGAACTGTACTGTGTAGGTTCCTGTAAGATTGCATCTACATCCACAGTTCCTGATTTCACATTTTTCAACCCTGGCTTCTAATGAGTAAATATTAAAAGTTTGGGCTTAGAAAATGCACTGTCAAAAGGCTGCTTTTATCTGATTTGCATGTTTGGGTTTGCTCAAGAATTGTTTGTGTAAACATATTTGAAAGCCACTGATTGGAATGAACGGAAGTGACTGCATCTCCCTTGGGCAGTTTTCCAGAAACAGTTTCTTCGAGCCAGTCTTATGAGAATGTGGGGCATAACTGTATGTGGGTATGCTTCCTGACAAATGTATGGAAACTTTAGATGTTTAGTAATTTTGGTCCTTAACCAAAGATTGCTCTTGGATTTAAGATTAGAAAGTATGAAAGTAACATAAGAATAGGTGATAAAGATTTCTGCATAACAAGGCATTGCAGATCCTGATTCCCTGTAAAGAATTCACAAGTGGTGAGCAATGCTTCCTATTGATAGACAGTGTGCTGGGTTTGGTTCAGGGAATTCCTGGCTGGAGACAAGCTTGTTCTGGTTCCTGTCTTCCTGCTCCTTACCTGTTGAGTCAGTGCATCAAACTGCTACTTCCCTCCTGGCTTTTGAATGACAAATGATAGTGTTCTTCTGCCTCACTTGTTTCCTTAACAAAAGTAGAGATCTAAAACTGTTTCATTTGAGTCATTGACATTTTCTGACGGTTTTCTATTTGATTTATAATATACATTTGGGAAAACCAATCTTTGCAGGGAGGCTAGAAGAGACTTTGGATCCAGATGAAGAAAGGCGAGTCCGAATCCGGAGACAGGAGCAAGCCACACGTTCAGCCCGGACACTCTATGTCCTCCAGCAGCAGGTGGGAAAACCAAGGAGGAGTGGGTCACTGTGCTGGGGGGGGGGTCTGCATTTCTAAGACTTTCTGCAGCCTCGGAAACATTAGTACAACAGTGTCCTACACAGATGCTTTAGAGACTAAGGCTAGATTTTTAAAAATTTTTTTAACCTATGGAAATTTTTTTTTTTGTCATTAACCTTGATACATATTTGCATATTATATGTGAATAGCCAGATTACCTGGACTGTGGTTCTTGACTGGAGGGCCCATAGACTGTTGGGTTGATTCCTTAGGATGGTTGCCATGTTGCTCAGCATACATTTATTGCATATAGAATCAGGTGAGTCAGTTACTTTGAAACCAACTATCCATTTTCAGACTGTAGTTATAGACAAAGGGTATTCTGGTGGACTAGTAAGTAGGGAGTTGTGCTGCCAATCCAGAGTTAGACAGTTTGAATCCACCAGCTGCTCTGAGGGAAGTATATAAATAGATGAGTAGACTCCTCCTGTGCAGTGTGTAGCTTCTGAAAATCTTGGAGGGTCAACTGTAAATCAGTTCTGATTTGATGACAGTGAGGAAGCCCTAAAGGGAGAGGATCTTTATAATTCAGTCAGAGCCTAACAGATAGTAAATGATTTGATTATTCCTTTAGTAACAGTAATAGTTGTTGATAATAGATGAAAAAGTGTTTTTCAGCATACATTTAGTGGCTAATAAACAGATGTTTATAGTTTTGACATTATGACTAGATTTTTTTAATCAAGTGCTTTAATCTTAATGCCTTACTCATTAGTTAGCTTTTTCCTCAGTTCTAGTGTCACTGAAGTTGCCTTGAACTTGAATCTTAGCTTTTTCATTTAAAGAAAATGCCTGAATTAGTATTGTATTTTTTGGGGTTGTTTTTCAGTCCTTTATGTACTTTGGTGCCATTAGAAACTCTTCTGAAACGTGAATCCTTCAATGTCAGACCTCTGCTTAAAAGACTTGAGTGGCTCTCTCAGTTGCTGGCTGTAGCTTAATAGAATAAAGGCTATGTTTTCTGGCCCTCCAGCTTTTCCAACGTCACTTCCATCTTCATTCCTTCATTTTAAAGTACTTGGAGTCCAAGGGTGATCGCTACTCTCTTCACCACCTTGAACTGGAAGCCAGTAACTCTATTATAGGTACATGAGTGAGAGTCTTTACTCATTTTAAAGTGACACCAACTAATAGTGGTTGTATATGTGAACAAGATGTATTCCTTTCTACAAAAACAGTGAGAAGGTATGAAGTTTAAAATATTTCTTTTATAAAACAGGTAAAAGAAATCCAGGAAGAATTGGATAAATTGAGTCCACAGAAAATTAAGCACACTAAGAAGGTAAGAGGTAATTAAATTAGGATCAATAATTTTGTTGTTAGGTGCCTTCAGGTTGAGTACGACTCATAATGACCCTATGAACAAAATATCTAAACCCTGTTCTATCCTGTGTCATCCTCTTATTTGCTGACACACAAGAGCCCATTGCTGCACTCATCATGCCAGTCCACCTGGTTAAGGGTCTTCCTCCCCTTCACCACCCTTCACCCTTCTCGGGATCATGTCCCTCTCCAAATAGCCCCTCCTGGCAGCATGCCTGAAGTATGTGAGATGATTCCTCATCATACAACATGTAGGTTCTCTATTTTTGATGTTTGTAGAAAACCTGTAATGATGGAGTGAACACTTCATTCTAAATATTAGGTTGCCTTCTGATGAATCTATTGATTGAAAAATAAATTGTTGTTGCTACTAGTGTAAGAAACTATGACCAGGAAGACCAAAGACTTTGTCACTGGAAAATCTTTAAACTTTATTTTTCTTTATTATGAAAATGTCTGTAGAAAGAACCCTCTGGAAAGAGAGCTACAAATCTTAATTTTGGGATGAGTTACTGTTAGGAGGTTCTGAACATTGAAATAACTTTTTCCATCTTATTTACTGACAGTCATGGGCAGTGTCCCGGCTGACAGCTGCCCACCGTGGAGCCATTCGGGCCTTACAGATGTTTGTCACTCAGTTTACGGACCGAGGAGAACAGCCAGTTCCTGCTCGCTGTCGGGAACTAGGCAGTCTCATCCGCCAGCTCTCACTTTGTTCTGCCAAGTTAGATTCTGATCCTTCTGTTCCTGATGTGGTTCTAGATATCCTACAACAAATTGAGGTATGAAATTGACTCCAGTTGATACAAAAACTATTGCTCTCCGCCCTCAGAGCAGAAATGGCACTGTGCCTACAGACTGGAGAGCTAGCAGAGTCTCCAGAGGCAGCCAGCCAGGGTCGGTCCCTGTCTTCCTAGCTTGAACGAGACTTGAAGGAGAAAAAATACACATGTTGAATAAGCTTGATATATAAACCTATTTTAAGTACATTATTTCAAGACAGAGAAGTAATGCTGTCACCTAGTTTGACTAGGTTTTGTTTCATTACCTTGAAAGTTAAAGCTTTACATTGAGATGAAGAAGAAGCACATTATTGTTTGTACTCTCTAATCTCTGTCCTCTTTGTGTTTTACTTCTTTGAGAATTGGTGACACATAACAGTTCTTAGCTAGTTCCATTAATTAGCATATTCCATCCTTAATCATGTCAGTTAGCCAATATTATGAAGAAAAGAAAATACTACTCTCTGATTAATGCTACAGTTAGAATACTGATGTTTACTCTTGATAGCTTTTAAAAGACAAACAAACTGAAATCCCATGATTTGACTGGAGACTATTGGAATCCCAACAACAGGTAGACTTTCCCTGGTATGCGCCACATAGGAATGGAAAGCATTCTAATCTGTGACAAAGACAATAATGACGCTCTTCCTTTAGATTTTTGTAGTTCTTTGAAATACATAAAGTGTTGAGACCTAACTCTATTTGATCCTTACTGCAGCACAATTATTTGCAGTAGGTGTATTGCTACTGTGGTACAGTTTTTTTTTAAAAAAAAAAAATTTATTATCTTTTGTGCATGTACCGTCAAATCAGATCTGACTGGTATAGGAGGAGATTGTCCCTCCTTCAGCAGAGCATCTGGTGGATTCGAACCACGCACCTTTGGGATTGCAGAGCTGTGGTACAGTTTTGTTTTGTTTTGTTTTGTTTTGGGGGTTTTTTTAGTTCCATAACTAGAGAGATTTCCCAATTGCTTCTCTTGATGTTTAAATTAAATTTGTCTCCTGAGTCTCATTTTAATGTTATTTTCACTGTACCGTATCTTTTTATGCACAAATAAAAGATGGCGTTGATACAATCTGACCTTACTAGCTAGAGAAAAAAAATGACATAATGTTTATCTTTATTGCTTTTGCAAATACTGTTATGATACACTTACTATTTTTCATATTGATGTGCTATTCCAGTCCACAGCTTTTTAAAGGAGTATTTGATTATTAAGTGAAGTAAACCTCTTTATTTTCACTTTTCTTTATTTTGTGACACTTTCACTCCACCCGATGAATATGAGACCACCTATGGAGTATATGCTTTTTTTTTTAAGGGTACACAGATCTCCACAGATAATGTGATAGCTAAGTGAGCAAAGCTAGCAGTCTCTTTAAGTTTCCTTTACACTGTGAAATGTGTGTCAAAAATAATATATGAATTTGTGAGGTTTTCACTGGGAATTTAAATGCTTTTAAAGCATAGAAGACTTCAAAACAACTATGAGATAACATCTCATCCCAGCCACAATAGCAGAGCTCAAGAGGACAGCAAACAGCAAATGCTTTTGAGGTTATGGACAGATTAGACCCCTTATGCCCTGGTGGGAATGTAAAATGGTACAGCCACTATGGAAGGCAGTCTGGCACCTTCTAAAAAACTTGGAAATGGAAATAACATTTGACCCAGCAATCCCACTACTGGGATTATACCCTAAAGAAACGAGAGCTTTGACTTAAACAAATATATGCACACCCTTGTTTATTGCTGTGTTATTCACAGTAGCAAAGAGATGGAAGCAACCAAATGCCCATTAACGAATGAATGGATAAAGAATCTGTGGTACATTCGCACAATAGAATATTGAAAAACATTGAACTTGTAAAACATTATACAACATCAGGGAGCCCAAAGAACATTATATTGATTGAAATAATCTCAGAAAAGGATAGATACTGCAAATACCTCTGTTTTAAAATAGGACAGACATGGAGGGCTTAGGGGTAGAGTGGATAGATAATGAACACTGAATTAGATCATAGGAGGGGAGGAACTGTCTGAAAAGAATATATGATTAGACATTGTATGTATGACAGCAGTCTAGAATGAGGAGTGCATTGAGGGGAAAGAAAATGTGCAACAATAAAAAATAAAGCACATAAGACTATTCTGAGAATTAGTTAATTTCTAAAAGAATAAATCTAAATGTTACTATTTGAGTACCCTTGAAAAGTCCTTTTTCTTCTGTTTGTAGAAGTAATTAAAAATGTACAAATTGTTTATTAATAGACACTCTAAAGTAGAACATTTTAAAACAACATTTTCTGACCATTAGAAATAAATTTTATTCACACATTTTTTGAGTGCTTATTTTCATTTTTGTGGTTAAAAAGTGTGCTTTTGTGACATGAGCTGAGAAAATAATTGACTGTTTCATGATAGAATTTGGAATCCCTCCTGGAAAAGAAACTGTCACCAAAAAAGGTGAAGAAATGTTTCACTGAAGTTCGGAGCAGATTTCCCATCGGTAGCCGAAGGGTCTTAGAGAAATGGCCAAGTGCATCCTCAAAGAGTGAGAGGAGACCCTTGGAAGGAGGGGAGGTGTTCCCACAAGCAGCACAACGACCTTTGGTTTCAAAGAAGCTTCTTGCTGGTATGTGGCTTCAAATGTTTATTGCAAGATAATTTTATTCTTTGAAATTCTCTGGACTGTCATAGTTACTGTATTGAAGAGAAACATCAGAATTTAGAGCCTAGTCCCCAGTGGACTTGAGTTAGAATAAGTAAATAGTAACTAAGGTGCTTCATTGGGGTAGAGGCTACTAACATTGTGTCATGTTGTTGTTAGGTTCCACTGAGTCAAATACAGCTCTGTGGATGACATACTAGAACCTCAGCCTGTCCTGAACTCACAGTCTCCGTGGTGTCTGAGGTTGCAGTCACTGTCAGTTCATCTTTTTGAGGCTATTCATATGTTCTACTGACCCTCTATCTTTCCATGATACCTTTGCCAAGGATTGACTTCTCCTGACAGCATGGCCAGTGTTCATGAGATGAAGCTTATTACCACCCTTCCTTCTAAGGGGCATACTGGCCTAGTTTCTTTAAGACAGATTTGGTAATTTTTTGACAGCTCACTGCCAAGTGATAAGGACCTGCGCTGCTATCCTGAAGGCAACATGGTTCACATCTGTTGGAGAAAGTTAGGCATTCTCTTATGTGATTTACCACCTCTGAAAACCTGCCACAGGGTCAAATATGAGTCACCCTGACTGGATGGCACACAACAGCAACAACATTGGCGGCTGACTCTTTGCCAACACAATTCAAAAGCATCTATAACTTCTTCAAGCATCCTGATTTATTGACTAGCTTTCACTTGCATATGGAACAACTGAAAATACTACAGCTTGGGTCAGGCACACATTAGTCTTTAAATTGATATCCTTTCTCTTTAGTGCTTTAAAGAGTTCCTTGACTGCAGAGCTACCGTTGGTGTTGATTATAGCTCTAGAAAAATGAACTTGTTAATAGCTTCTGTCTGTTCTCCATCTATTCTGATGTTGCCTAATAGACAAGTTGAATTTTTTTTTTTGATGTTGAAGTGTAAGATATACTTTCCCATGTAATTGTTACGTGCTATCAAGCTGGAACCAACTCTTCCCTGACTCTCCAGCAGGTTTCAGAGGCTGTAAATTAGATGGGAGAAGATGGCTGAATTTCTCCCATGGAGCAGCACAACTCCTTACCCACTAGGCCACCATATCTCTTTTTCACTCCCTTAGAGAAGGTAAAAATAAAAAGCCTGTCCTGTCCAGATGAATTCTTAACACATAGCAATCCTGCAAGATAGAATAGAAATGCCCCAAAGGTTTGTGAGTATCTTTACAGAACCAGGCTGTTAGATCTTTGAGCCTCCAAACAGTGAATGAGTGAAAAACCACTGAGTCGTCAGGGCTCCTTACAGAGGTGATTGTTATTTCTGAGTACCATCGAGTTAGAACCGAACCAAAACTGACCTTCTAGTGGTTCTTCAGAGGCAGTTAATTTCACAGGAAGAGATGGCCCATCTTTGTTCTGCAGAGCAGCTGGTAGATTTGAACTGTATATCCTTGTGTTTGTAGTACAATTCCTTACGACTAAACAACCAGAGCTTACTAGTCAAAAGAAAATTCTGTATTATTAAGAGTTTTTTAGTTAATTCAGACAAAATTTTTATAAAACTGTACATTATGTGTTAACACTCTTGGCACCAGTAGCCAGGAAATTAAAAGACGCATTGCCATGGGAAAGTCGGCTGTTAGGAACCCCTCCAAAATACTGAAGAGCAGTGGTGTCTCTCTGGAGACTAAGGTGAGTCTGATACAGGCCATGATCTTTGTTATCACTTGTTATGCATCAGAGAG